CTACTTGCTCACCTACTGAAAGACCCGATTCATCACTAAGAGAACCTTTATCAACCCCTGATATAAATATTCCAAGATCATATTCAGCACCACCACGTATAACTAAACCAAGACGTTTATCTTTTTCGACTGAAACTGTTACCTAAATTTTCAGGAAAAAAAAATAAATTAAATTTTATCTTTGATTTAAAATAAACAAACTGTTCTTTCAAAATAGGGTAATTGAGCATCAATTGAAAGATAAGTTCCTTGTGGTGGAGATGTTGAACGTTGTTGAATTGGATCATACCAATCATATAATGTTGCATCAAGAGCATTTATACGAAGTGTACGAATAATAATATCAAGTTCATTTGTTGAATATAAGATCTTAACAACAAATAAAATAAATTTACTTTTCTTAATAATATTAATATATCAAATTTGATATTTTATTTTATTTTTAATTAATTCATATTCATTTTACAAAATGTAAAATATTAAGAATTGAAAAAAAAATCTTCTTTAATCATTCGAAATAAGTCTATCTCAATTAATCCTTCCTTTATTATGAAAAACGAAAATCTAAATCTTGTAAAATATTTTAAAAATTAATTATTAAGGCTTCAATTTCCCTTAAAAAAAATTTGCTTTTGTCCGAATAATCATGATTGAGATAAATCACTGGTCATTTGCTCTTACATCGATGATAAAAACTTTTCTTCAATACCTTCTTTTTTCTCAAAATGTAGTGTTTATGAGAGTCCTGTTTTTATTTGTTTTGATAAAGATATTTTATAATCTAACTGATATTTTCTTTTAGAAAGATAGGAATAAAAAAGAAAAGAGTCTTCAAAGATGCTGTATTCGAACATACTGTTTCATAGAAATTTGACCGAGAGGGAAAAAAACGTTTTTAAATAAGAAATATTCGAATAATTAGAAACAATTTTCTATGTTTAATAGATTTGTGGAAAGAAAAAAAAAAAAACTTGAAGAGCTTGTGTATAATTAATATTTTGTTGAAATGATATTCCATTAACAGAAATAATTTGATCTTCAGGTCTCATTCCTTGTAAATAAACTTGAGAATTCCAAACAACAGAAGCGACTTGAATAGGTTGAAGATTATTTCCACCTGTTATTGTAAAATCTAATGTACTATCATTTGATTTAAGATAAATTCGTTTAGTTAATAAACGACTTGGACCAAAATAATATTTTTCATGAGAAGATAATAATTCTTCTTCTTCTTGTTTTGATGATGATGATGGAGAAGAATACATTTTATCTAAAATTATAACTAAATATGGTTTGAAAAAAAAACAACCGATACATAATAAGAAAAAAAAGATGTTGGACAAATATATTTATTGTTAATATTAATTTGTTTTAGTTTTTTTTTCTTCCTCTCATAAATTCCATCATAGCTTGAACAAATTCTTCTGTTAACCAACGTTGTTTTAATGTTTCAACTTCATAATTATTAACACGATGAAGATTTTCTTTATTACATTTTTGCATTAATAATTTACTTGTTAAAAGACTTTCACGTGGTAATGATAATATATGTTGACAAATTTTATCTTTTTCTTCTTGAAATAATTTTTCATCAATTATTTTTGTAACTAAACCACGTTGTTGAGCTTCTTCAGCTGTTAATTTTCGATCAAATAAAAGAATATCTTTAGCATGAAGTGAACCCATTAATAATGGAAATGTATATGAATGAACAACCTTCAGCTGATTGTGCTGTTCGTGTAAATAGTAATGAATATGTTGCATTTGATGATGAATAAACACCATCAAATAAACCAAATGTTGATACTGATATACCAACGGCTGGACCATTAATAAATGCAATTAAAATTTTTGGAAAATCTATATATTTTCCAATATATGTTTCTAATAATGTTCGACCACGTTCAACTGATTCTTTTAAATTTGTTGTTGATGTCTATTTATTAAATAAAATAATTTATTATTTATATTAGATTTTCAATAAAATATTAATTATAATAATGATATTTATTTATTGACAAAGTTAATAATTAAATATAGAATGTTTAAATAATATTATATACCTAATTCTCTCGCAAAAGAAATTAACTTTGTACTAATCTATTTATAACTATAATGATATTGAAACTAATCATAATGTTTTTAAATAGATTGAACATTTCTACATCGATCTATATGTGTCTGACAATATAATAAGGAATCTTTGTTTTACAAGAGTCATAACAACATGAGTAAGATCGAATGTTCCTAATTATGTCGTTGGTAGTACTTTTTTTTACTTCTGTATAATATCTCATTTTTAGGTCAGACGGAATGTTTTTTCAGATTAAAACGAAATTTTATGAACAATGTTGCCTTTATTGGTAACTAAAAACTAAATCATAAGGCCGGGGTGAGTGAGATACATTAACTCATGCTACTTTGAAAAATATTCTGTCTGACATTAAAATGAGAAGTAAAAAAAAGTACTCCTAACAACATAATTAGGAACATTCGACCCTACTTATGTTGTTAAGACTCTTGTGAAACAGAAATTACTTATTGTATTATTTAAACCTATATAAATCAACGCAGAAATGTTCACTCTATTTAGAAAAGCTACATATCATTATATTTGATGTAATTATAAATAGATTACGAGAAAGTCAATTTGTTTTACAACAAAATTAGTACATTTGACTCTATATTACTATTATTTTTATTTGTTTTTTAATGATGTCTATAATAAATAAAAATGTTCGATATTCAATAAATTCTATTAAGATATGATTGAATGTTTACTAATTAAATAGGGTGTGGGTGTGGGTGGGTGCGGGTGCGCGTGCGGGTGTGGGTGTGAGTGGGGTGTGGTGTGGGTGTGGGTTTGGGTGTGAGTATGGGTGTTGGTGGGTGTGATTGTTGTTTCACTGTTCACCCACACCCACACCCACACACCCACCCACACCCCCACCCACACCCACACCCACACCCCACACCCACACCCACACCCACACCCACACCCACCCTTGCCTAATTGAGA